CGAACCTCGTCCCTATCCCATAAGCCTTGTGACTTCTTCCCAAACAAGTACTTTCCCTTATTTATTAAAAACATCTCACACCAAACTGGAAAGAACATTTCTCCAAAATTAATTAATTCTCCAGAGGCTGGAGAGATGGCTCAGCGGTTAAGAGCACTCACTGCTGTTCTTCCAGAGGTCCTGAGTTCAATTCCCAGTACCCACGTGGTGGCTCACAACCATCTGTAATGGGACCTAATGGCCTCTTCTAGCACACAGGTGTATATACAGCTAGAGCACTCATTCACATACATACAAATAAACGCATGCACGCATGCAAACATACCTATACACATATATTCCAACGTTAGCCAAGTGGCTTACGATCCCAGTCATTCTAACACTATCCACCTGTATCACTCACGTTAAAGGGCTCAGTCCCATAGGACTGCCCCTCTCCAGATGCCAATCCTAAACCCCAGGTGTCTGGTGTTCTGCAATCACTAATACACATGTGGCATTCACACGACTCCCTCTTTGAGGGAAGTGTCTGATAATCTGCTAACGTAGCTCACAGAACTAAGAAAAACACATTACCGCAACGTAATATTAACACAAAGCATAAAACTCAGAAATGGGAGGCTGACGAGGTGGCTCAACTGTTAGGAGCATTTGCTGCTCTTGCGAAAGACCCTATTTCAATTCCTAGAACCCATCATGGTGATTAACAACCGTCTGTAACTCCAGTTCCAGGGGATCCAACATCCTCTTACGATGTCTTCAGGCACCATGCATGCATGGGGTACAGTAACAGCTTATATCTAGGTTAGTTAACAGGGAAACACCTCAAATTGTGTGGGCATCTTGTTAATTTGAGCATTACCAAACTTATAAAGCCTTTGGATAATCTAAGCCTTAGAGTCTCATTTTCTACTGGGCCTTCGTGGATGGCAGGATGGTCTGGGCTCAGCCCAGCCTTGTGGAGACAGCGTGAGAGAACCACGCTGGCGTCTTGTGGGTGGCAGGGCCGGTGTTTCTAGCTGGCCATTCCTAGCTGTGGCACGTGCATGTGGCCTCTGGCCACGGAACATGGCAGCAAAGCTAAGCAGAGCCATCACCGCTTAGACAGTCAGCCCAAGAAAACGCTGATTTCAATTATTACAGCAACATGGTACAAATACATACATGCAGGCAAAGCATACTTAAATGAATCCTAAAAAAAGAATTTAAAGATAAACAAACTCATTGAGAAATGGCCAAACAAGACATACATAGGGCAATGATTTATACTAACACTATGTTTGATCTTGGTTTTCTGTTGTTCTGCTGTTTGTTTTTAGCACAAAGTTCCTTAAACATAGGACTCTTAACATAGGCAAAACAATGTTAAGAGTATCTTCTGTATACAGACGCCATCTCAGGATCTAGGGACTCCTAGACTCTCAGGTTTGTTCTCCAGGAAGAATAAGGAATGACAGAGAGTTGGATGTTTCTGCCTTATTCCCCTGCCTAGCCTCAAAGCCAGACTGAGTTATCACTAATACCCAGTGATGCCATACACATAATGAAGCCCCATGGAAATCCCCAGGGATGGAGTTGGGCGCTTCTGTGCACTCAGCGTGTGCAGGTCGCTGAACAGTATGTCTGGAAAGACCATGGACACGCTACATCCTTTCGTGTGCCTTGCTCTATGCAGGTCTCCTGACTGCTCATCTGCATCCTCTGTAACAAACAGGTTAATCTAAGGCAAACACATCCCTAAGTCCTGTGAGCTGCTGTAACAAGTTCACCAAATCTGAAGAGGGTTTTATCCACTGAGGAACCCTTCCATCTGTATCTGGCAGTTTAGAAGTATAGATGACAACCTACTTTATGCATCTGGGTTTTGAAGTTGGTGGCTCGCCTATAGGTTCTACCTCTACCTCCAGATACCAGTAGCAGAACTGAACTGAATCAGAGAACAGCAGCTGGTGTCTGGAGAAGTAACTGGTTGGTGTGGAAGGTAAATCTCTGTACAGCTGTTACAGGGTACTGAACAAAAGGTGGGTTAGAGGAAGAAACAGTCCTTTAATGGAGAGTGGCACTCAGGGCGACACGCCCCAGGCTTGAGGTACATTACTTTCTCTCCCTTATTTTGATGTGTTCACCCACTCTGGAAAGCTTGTGAACTTTCTACTCAGAGTTTTTGTGAAGACTCATTTAGTTATTGGTGATTAACTCAGTTTCAAGAAAGATCTAAATTGTCAACAACAGTCTACTCTGGCCCACCAGCCTCTACCCCAAACCTGCCTAGAGGCCCTCACAGAACAAACCATGATGTCAAGGCATGGTTAGAAAGTAAGACATTCATTTGTCTCACTCCTTTTGCCCACAGAATTTAAAAAAGAAAAAAAATTAAAGAAAGAAAGAAAAGAAAAGGAACCCAAACTCGCCCCGCACTTGTGGTTTTGCGTACCTGGATACTGCAGCTTACCTGGATATTGCAGCCTTTTCCATTATCTCCTGCTGGATGAGCCCAGAAGGCTCAATGACATCTAATATAATTATGCTCCACAGTTTGTCTGATTTGGGTCTTTGCAACACAGCAGCTTCATCCTCTATATGCCGCAGCCAAAACTCAAGTGTTTCCTTAGGGAAGTGATTGGCTTCAGATATGAGGTCCAAAGCGATACAGTGCTGGTCTTTTTCCACTGAACTGTAGGGCTTAACCCGGCCAAGTGTTCCAGCAAGTATAGGTAAAAGAGAGAAGCCTTCAGACACATCCAGCACATAGAAAGGATCAGAGGTGCTCGGAGCAGTGTTACGTTGTCCACTCCCAGAGTTCATCTCCATGTACTGACAGTGAGTGTCCATGGGCTGGCACAGTGGCTCTGGGGCCAGTGAAGACAACACCTTCCTCATTGCCGTCTTAAAGCCTTCATGATACGGAATGTTATTAAGCAAAGCAATCTCTGTGGGCTCTAACACACAGGTCTGCTCGAGAGCTTCTGGTCTACTGGTCTGAAGGTTAGCCAGAGCACTACAGAGTTCAGCCTCATTTCCTAGAGAGAGCAAGTCTGTACTGTTGGTAAAACTTTTTATAACTTCCATTTCATGTTCCAAATGCAAGATACTGATCCCCTGGATTCTTAGGTAACAATCGTGACAAGATGCCTCCATTGTCACTCGATCTCCAGGCTGTATGCAGTAGTCTTCATTTGTAAGAAAGGAAAGGAGGAAAAAGAAATATGCATATATACATATATACACATACATATATGAAACTGGCTGTCTTAGTTAGGACTTCTATCACTGTAATAAACACGTGATCAACAGTCCACTGGGGAGGAAAGGGCTTATGTGGCTTACATTTCTATATCACAGCTCATCATTAAAGGAAGGAAGGGCAAGAACCTGGAAGCTGAAGCAGAGGCCACGGAGGGTGCTGCTTACTGGCTTCCTCACCTTTCTTTTTTTTTTTCCTTTCTTTCTTTATTTTTTGGAGACAGGTTCTTTGTGTAGCCCTGGCTAACCTGGAACTTGCTTTGTTGACCAGGCTAGTTTCAAACTCACATAGGTACGCTTCCCTCTGCCTCCTGAGTGCTGGGATTAAAGGCATACACTACCGCCACCCAGCTCACCCTACTTTCTTATAGAAACTAGAACCCCCCCACAAAGAGATGGCACCCCCACAGTGGGCTGGGCCCTCCCCGTCAGTCGTTCACGATGACCACACTCTACAGGCTTCCCTACGGTCTCATCTTACACAGGCATTTTCTTAACTGAGGTCTCCTCCTCTTAGATGACTCTAGCTTATGTCAAGTTGAAGAAAGACTCCCAGCACAGCTTAGACCTTATCAACCTAGCCGAGACCAGGACAACACACGGCTGCTGCTCTTCTTGGCAGTTATACCATGGTACTGGCATCTCCAAAATGTTGGGGTTTCTTGCTGCAAGTGGGTGCACTTCAAACTTGCCATGTGGCTGAAGCTGGCCTGACACTCCTAGTTGTCCTCCCTCTCTGTGCTAAGTGTTGGGATGACAGACATGCATTGTAATGCCCAGCTGCATACTGTTTTTACCACAGTCAGTAGATGCGCTTCCAAACTGAGGAAGACCTGGGGGTAAAGGAGGCTTTGTCTATAGGCAATTTCCAAAAGAATGAAAGCACAACACAGTGGTATCCAACACTCCCCATGCATCCGGAAGTGTGCATGTTTAGGGGATTTAAGGAGACCGAGTCCTGCAGTGAGGACCAGTCTGTGCTCCTCTGTGAGTTCCCACACATGGTCCATTTCTACACCACCCATGTATGACGACTGTTTGTCCTGTTAGTTCCAGATGAAAATACAACCTATACCTAGGAATGGTGGGACATCCCTGCAGTACCAGATGGGAAGCTGAGACAGAAAGATCGATTAAGCCAATAAATTTTGACTTACAACCTTAACTCCCTGAGTTCAACCCCTCGAGACCAAGTAAAATAGACAGATACAGTTGTCCTGTGACCACATACATGCCATGAGATGTACATTCTCCCAAGAAACATCTCACACATCACATGAACAAACACACACAAATATTTGTAATTGAAAAAAAACAAAGTTGTCATTTTCGTGTTTAAGCATTTAAAGTTTGAGACTTCTTCAAGAGATATTTAAATTACTGTAAAAGAATGAAACTAAAGACACACAGATTTTAAAGATGTAACTTGCTGAGAGCCAAGCTTTACCTATTTAGTATTTGATCCTTCCTACAACACTCTAGGACAGACAGCATCATCCTTTTCTCATATATGACCCAGTAAAAGTTCTGAGTTCTTACCAGCAAGGCCAGTCAGCAAAGTCATTCAATAAGAGAGCCGAGATCTGAATACAAACCTTCAGACTAGATTCCACAGTTTACTGGCCTTAGCAAATCAGGTCCTTGATTAAGAGACTACACAGAAATGTATTTCCTTCCTGTTTTAAACAGGCAGAGCTTTTCCATGAACTTAACTGCTAAGAGCATTGAACCTAACAAACTGCTTTAAACATTCTTCCTAGACATAAAATATCATTAATACAGACTTTTCCCAGAGAAGTTCATGGATCTCCAAATTCTCTTAAAATGGCAAGACTTTGTACTTCTAGGAGTGTATACATTTTAATTTCTATATTTATTTACTGGGGGGAGGAGGTATGCACCTGCCCTGGTATCTATGTAGATCAGATGACAAGTTGGGGGAGTCAGTTCTCTCCTTCCACCATGTGGGTTCCAGAAATCAAACTCAAGTCATTAGGACTGGTAGCAAGCAAGCACCTTTACCCACTGAGCCATCTCTCCAGCCCACTACACATGGGCAATACAAATGTCATCTATGGGTTAAGTACTCCTGTACTTAATACTTTTATAACCCTTTTGTTTAAAAACAGATGAAGCAGTACTCACTTCTGAAGCACTTATGCTAAAGTTAGAACAACACTGAGAATATTAGCACAATTTCTGAGCAAGGACAGCAGGCAAATTCATAAAGTGTCTCACTTTTCATCTTTTTAAAAGCAGCATCCTTTCACCTACCGACAACTAACATTTGAAACTATCAAATAATTAATGACAGTGATAGCTGAGGCAGAGTAATTCTTAAGTTTTACTTATTTAGAGACAGGGTGTCACTATGTAACCCTGGTTGGCCCCAAACTGCTTCCAGAGTGCTTGGACTAAAGTTACGTGACACTGCACACAGCATTTTTTGCTCTCTTACTATCTTTATCTACTCTTTTGGTAAGTTGATACACAAACAACTCATCGCAGGCAATCTCGTTCCAGGCAATCTCAGTCCCCCCTCCAGGACACTCAGCACCTTTCTCCCACTTTCCAGAGTAATGATTTGATCCCTCTTAGTATTTTTTGAAACTAAATCTCAGTATGTAGCCCTGGGCAGTCCAGACCTTGCTATATAGACCAGGCTGACCTTGAACTACCAGAGATTTGCTTGTCTCCCAACACCCTGACATGCTATGATTAGCAACATACAGTACTGCAGCTGGCTTTAATCTCTGTTCTAAACTACACATTTGCTATTTAAATTTACTTTGAACAAAGGAATCTATAATTCTGAAATATTTAAGTAACACTTCTTTTGCTGAATACTTCATCTCAAAAGTAATTCTTTTTTCTTTTTGGTCACTGACAGTTACTTTTAAAAGCAACGAATTTTGTCTGACTGGTTTGGTGGGGAAATGTTTGGTTTAAAAGAATGCTTTAAAAGATTATTTATGCATTTTAAAAATGTAAATGGATGTTTTGTCTGCTTATCAGAAGAAGCCATTGGCTCCCATGGGACCATGGGAGTAGACAGCTCTGAGCTACTCCACTGGTACCACACCTCTCCAGCCCCAAAATGTTTTTTTAATGAGACAATACTTACCTTCAAGGGCCTGTACTGGATAAACAGCCTGTTCCCAACAGGTTTCCTCACTAGGACTTGTGGACAAACTGTGTTCATCATCAAGCTGGAGAACAAACCAAACCATAATAGCATCCAACATGCCTGCTTTAACAGCAGGAACATTAAGAGAGTATGGCTTCTTAGTTGCAAGACTTTTTAATTCCTGAAAAGAAACATAAAAGGATGAGAAGACAGAGGTCAGGAAAGTAGTAAGCAGCCAAAACCTTTAGAATACTAAGAGAATGAGAGGCTTTATAAACTGATGTGCGTGGACCCTCAATGTCACATCGCAGCCCAACTTCAAAGTCACAGCCCTGCCCTGCGGGAAGGGAATTGCAGAATGTCGTGTGGCTACTGAACACGTAGCAGATATACACACACTGTGGATAAAGACAAATCACCAGTGACAGTGCTGGGTGGCAAAAGTGTGCAGCAAAGCAACAGAGTCATTCTATTCTGGAAGAGTATGTATGTGCACACACATAAAGAAAAGCAAGCCCAGAGTGAGGCCCTTCAACAAGTGGCACAGGGAAAGGAGGAGACACTTTAAAAGGTAGGATAGGACTGGGCTTCTGAACTCTGCTCTGGACTCCATGGAAGTGTTAAACAGGCAGGCATCATTTTTAAAGCTAAAACTTTTTACAGGGTGTGCAGTGTAAGGAAAACTTCAAATAAAAACTGTAACAATACAAGAACAGCTGTAAGGTACACAATAGTTGTATTCCCATTACTTCCTGGAACATTGTGTCTAGTCAGGAATGACATTAAAACACAGGGCTGCTCAGCAGCTATAAAAGCAAACTTAAGAGAACTGCAGACCACTCTCAAGACAAGGCAAGCTAACGGGAAGTGACTGCATTTGAAAATCTCATGCTGACACACCCTTCTTTCACAGTCCACGAAAATGGAGCATCGGACACTTGTACATGAATATTATTACTCTTTCTTCAAGACATTAGAAACGGAGTTTTATTGAACTTGGACTCTTTGGGTTCCTTATGCATACATCTTGTCATCCACCAATACACACACACACACACACACACACACACACACACACACACACACACGCGCGCACACACACAGAGACATGGTATAGAGGCTTGACTAGCAAGTGCCAGGTTCTGGGTCCAATCCCTAGCATCCCCAAAACCTGAGTGTTCTCTGGCTCAGGAGTCCTTCAGCCCTTGGTGAAATGGGGTGCTATTACCCTAACACAGTGGTCCTCAGCCTTCCTAATCCTGAGACCTCTCATACTGTGGTGACCCCAGCCATAAAATTATCTTCACTGCTACCTCATAACTGTAATTTTGCTACTGTTATGAATCATAACACAAACATCAGTGTTTTCTCATGATCTTAGGTGACCTCTGAAAGGGTCATTTGACAACCAAGGGGTCATGACCCACAGGCTGAAAATCGCTGCCCTAACAACTTTATTTAAATTCAGATTATTAGGTTTAGATTATTGGTCATTTCAAGGAAACCATGAACTTGAGAAGACAGGATGTCAAAGAGAAAAGAAAAGCTGCAGGCTGGAGAGTCCGCCCTGTGCTTGCACACATAAGAACTTGGCAGAAGTGCCTACATTACTTCATCTGAGTAGCTCACACATTAGCTTATTTCTACTGTCATAGTGCACACTCTCGCAAAGCACAAAGCACAGCACAGACTCCTAACCAACCCCAGGGAGCTTTCCCCTTACACTGAAAAAGACTACTTTCAAAAGGGAATTTTAATTTGCTGCTAATTGTTTCTTCATAAGTAAAACCTCACATACATTCAAAAAGTAAGGCACTGCCAGGCAGTAGTGGCGGTGGTGCACACCTCTGATCACAGCGCTCTAGAGGCAGAGGCAGGTGGATGTCAGCGTTGGAGGCCAGCCTGGTCTACAAAATGAGTCCAGGACAGCTGGGGCTACACAGAGAAACCATGACTAGAACAAAACAAAGACAACAACAAAGGTAAGAAGTAAACGTGTTGTTTTTACCTCAAGATTATTGAAATCAACTTTCATAATCTGAAAGCACTCTGTCAAAGGCAGGTATCCTCCAGGGATTCCACTCATCTTTTCAGTTGTGTATGGTTCAACTATTTCTTCAGTATCTACAGAAGAATAGGCTGGACTCCGAAATTTCACATTTGTTGGTAAATGTATACCAGCAATGTCCTTAGCACCAACCCTAGTAAGAGTTGAAAAAAAAGGTAAGGTGTAAGATGGGCTTTTTAAGGTATCAAATATCACTGTCTAATAGTTGAGAAAATATAAACATAAGAATGAAATAAGACCTCACGGCTATAGATTTCTTAAATGTATATATCACATGAAGAAAAAATTGATAAATAACTCCATATCAAAATTAACAATCTTGGGTGGCTGGAGAGATGGCTCGGTGGTTAAGAGCACTGATTGCTCTTCTAAAGGTCCTGAGTTCGATTACCAGCAACCACTTGGTGGCTCACAGCCATCTATAATGAGATCTGCTGCTGCCCTCTTGTGGCCTGCAGGTGTACAAGCAGGCGGAGCATTGTATACGCAATAAATAAATCTTTAAAAAAAAAAAATTAACAACTTTGTGGGATGTCGAGATAGTTAGTGGTTAAGCACCCTGGCCGTTCTTGCAGAGTTCCTGAGTTCAGTGGGGTTCCAGCACACGTCAGATGTTGTACAACTACCTCAACTCCAGTAACACCTCTTATGACCACCACAAACTCCACATACACATGGCACACACAAACACACATGCAGAAATATAAATTTTAAAACTTTTAAAAAGGAAAGTATTTACAGAACATATGTTCAACAAATGACTCATATTTTAAAAATGTGCTTTTGAATTTCGGCAAGCTAACAGGAGACAAACAAGAACAGACTTAGGTCCTTCACCAAAGGGCACAAGACAACCAAGTAAAATATGAATGAGCTGAGTGAGCATCAAAGCAATGAGGTGAGAACCACACTCCACACTCCACAAGACAGGCAGTCAGCAGCAGCCTGGGGAGGGCACTGGCCCACACAGCTGTATTCACTGGCATTCTCTAAGGAGGTAAATGAGCACACAGAGACATCTGGATACACAGACTGAGAGGCAGCCCGTGCACTCTCATTCACCCAGCTTGGTGACTGAGGCCCAGCTGTCTGGTTGGTATCCTGGGCCTACCAACCTCTAAACATTTCTACTGTCACCCTGTAACA